TGGTTAGACCAGGGGGGGCTGGGAGCCAGGACTCCTGGGTTCTCTCCCCAGCTCTGGGAGGGGAGTGGGGGCTGGTGGTTAGACCAGGGGGGGCTGGGAGCCAGGACTCCTGGGTTCTCTCCCCAGCTCTGGGAGGGGAGTGGGGGCTGGTGGTTAGACCAGGGGGGGCTGGGAGCCCGGACTCCTGGGTTCTGTCCCCAGCTCTGGGAGGGGAGTGGGGGTCTAGTGGTTAGAGCAGGAGGGGCTGGGAACCAGGACTCCTGGGTTCCGTTACTGACTCCGTGGATGAACCCTGGATTCTGCGGCTGAGCGGAGTGGCTGGGTGGCGGGGCAGATCCTGGGGCAGGGTGAGGATGGGGCAGGCCCCTTACTTGTCTTGGGGGTGAGGTAGACGCTGAGGGCGGTGACAGCATCCTCCGAGGGGTCGCGGTACAGCTCCGTCACCAGCAGGTCGTTGTCCTTCATGCGCAGAGGGAACTTCTGCACATCTGGGGACGAGAGGGGACATCAGCGCAGCCCCAGCGCCTGCAGGCCCCTGGCCACCGCCCCCCCCTTGTCAGCCTGGCGGGGCCAGGGCTATTCCCATGCTGCCAGCAGGGCCCGCCCCCGGGCCTGGTGCCCCGCCCCTCCATGGCACAAGGCGGCAACAGGGCTTGGCGAGGCCAGCGTGGGGGGGTCAGAATGAGGCTCCTCCCGCACCCATCACCACGCAGCCTAGTGGTTAGTTCCCTGGGCTGGGACGCAGGAGACCGGGGGATCAGTTACCACCCGCTGCCCCTGCGTCTGCCTGATACCCAGGCCCCCACGCGGCCCCTCTGCAGCTGGCAGAGCCGGGCCCTGGGGCTGGTGGGCAAGCGGCTGCCCCCGCCCCCCCACGGCTGCCCCCCAGGCTGCGCCCGCCCGCCCCACTCACCCACGTAGTAGATGGAGCCGTTGTGGCAGCCAAGCAGCAGGAAGGTCCCGGCCGCGTCGTAGCTGCTGATGGGAACCACGTCCTGGATCTGTCCGGGGCCGAGAAGGGACCTGCTCAGGGCGGGGCCCGGCCCAGCTACGTCGCCCCGCAGCCCATCCCGCTCGCCCCACGTCCCCCGCTCAGCTCCCTGTCCGCGGCTCCCCACCCAGCCGTGCCCCCCACGTCCCCCCCACAGCTCCCCGCCCAGCCGTGCCCCCCAACCCCCCCGCTCACCCCGCATCCCCCCACAGCTCCCCACCCAGCCGTGCCCCCCACAGCCCCCCCACTCGCCCCGCATCCCCCCCACAGCTCCCCGCCTCAAACACCCACGTCTGCGGCTCCCCACCCAGCCGCCCCCTCACCTGCCAGTGCTTGGTGACAGCGTTCCAGACGCCGATCTTGCCTGTGTGGCTGGTGGCGATGAGTTGGCTGCCCACGAAGAAAAGCGCTTCGACCGGGACGCCCAGGTGGAATACGCCTGGCCGGGGAGAGGAGCCGTGAGGGGGCCGGGCCTGAGGGAAACCGCCCCAGGGACCCCTCGCCGAGCTCCCCCCAGCCCCCGCCCAGCCCCCCTTGCCAAGCTCCTCCCCCCGCCCCGCCCCTGCCCCCTCACCAATTTCGCTGCCGTTGCCGTCGGCTGGCAGGGCCCAGAGGATGATCTCGCTGCAGGACGCCACGGCCACCATCTTGTCCTGCTCGCCCAGCGACCCGCCCAGCACCTTGGCATTCAGGGCCACCCGCTCGATCACCCAGTCCAGCCGCGGGCTGCAGAACCCCTGCTGCCAGCCCGACGTCTCCTTCATCCTGGGGCCAGAGCAGGCATCAGACTGGGGCTCCCCCAGGCAGGCAGGGCTGGGCCCAGCCGTGCGGAGGGGATGGGGGTGGGGATGGGGGACTGCCCCTGGCAGGCAGGGCTGGGCCCAGCAGTGCGGAGGGGATGGGGGTGGGGATGGGGATAGGGGGCTGCCCCCGGCAGGCAGGGCTGAGCCCAGCAGTGCGGGGGGTGGGAGGATGGGAGGTCTCCCCCTTGGCAGGCAGGGCTGGGGTGGGGGCTCGGGAGTCTGTTCTCAGAAGGACCCATGGTCAGGGAGGCAGGAGACCTGGGCCGTTACCTGTAGCAAACGAGGAACTGGGCGTATGCCACGGCGATCCAGTTGTGGTGCCCACAGACGATTCGGACCATGCCGGGGTCACTGGCCGGCCCTGGGGCGGGAGGGCAGAGCCCAGCACAAACGAGGAACTGAGTATGGCTCAGACATACACAGCAGATCAGTGACACAACCAGGAGAGAACCCAGGAGTCTGGGCTCCCAGCTCCCCCGCTCTACCCGCCAGACCCCGCTCCCCTCCCAAAGCCGGGGAGAGAACCCAGGAGTCTGGGCTCCCAGCTCCCCCGCTCTACCCGCCAGACCCCGCTCTACCCGCCAGACCCCGCTCCCCTCCCAAAGCCGGGGAGAGAACCCAGGAGTCCGGGCTCCCGGCCCCCCGTGCTCTACCCCACCAGCCCCCACTCCCCTCCCAAAGCCGGGGAGAGAACCCAGGAGTCCGGGCTCCCGGCCCCCCCCGCTCTAACCACCAGCCCCCACTCCCCTCCCAGAGCCGGCAGCTGGAGAATGACGAGCTCCCCCCGCCCCGAGGGCCCCGCGTACCTGCCCCGAGGCCCCGCTCCTCCAGCAGGCGGCCCAGCAGCCCGGCCTGGCCCAGCGTGGGGGGCAGGGTGTTACTGCGGCGAACTGGGGCCCTCTCGGCGGCGCTGTGCAGCCGGGCGGCCACCTGCGGCCCTGCCACGCTGTGCCGGTTACGCCGCTTGGCGGGGAACACTGCAAGGGAGGGGGCGATAGGACCATCTGGGGGGTGGGGCCTGTGAGAGCCGAGCCACCCCCCCGCCCAATCTGTCTCCACCCACACCCATCCCCTCCCCTCCCCCAGCCCAGCTCCGTAGAGCCCCTCCCCCGCCCAGCGCGGCTCCGCCCACACCCAGCCCCCCCGCCCAATCAGTCTCCGCCCACACCCATCCCCTCCCCTCCCCCAGCCCAGCTCCACCCACACCCCTCCCCTCCCCTCCCCCAACCCATCTCCCATAGAGCCCCTCCCCCGCCCACACCCAGCCCCC